AAGGGGGGGGGACCCACCCTGCCAATGGCAGCCTGGCGCTGCCTGCAGGCCCCCCCACTTTTCCTCCTACCACCTACGCTGTGCACGGCCCAGCCAGACCCTCCCACAGATGCTGTCTAAGGGACCCTTCCTGGCATGTGCACCGATGCCTGGGGTGTGCCCCAGAGACGGCTCCTGCCCTGGGACTGAGAATCTCATGGACTCCACATGGTGCAGCACAGAATCCTCACCTCAAACTCTGATCCAGCCCTGTGCTGTGCCAGGTCCCTGCCCCCCTTCCAGCTGTTCACTTTGTTCCCCACCCCCTATCCCTCCCCATCCCTCTCTCCCATCCCCCCTCCCTTCTTCCCTATCTCCCTCTGCCTCTTCCTCTTCCAGCTGTTCACTTTGTTAGTCATCCTTCATCCCACCCCCTCATCCCTCTCTCTCATCCCCCTCACTCCCCTCTTCCCCCATCTAGCTGTTCAGTTTGTTAGTCATCCTCCCCCCCATTCCTTCCACTACTCAACTCCCCTTCCCATCCCCTCCCTCATCACTCCCCTGAAGCACTTTATCTTTCCTCCCCTCTGTCCCCTCCCCTGCTTTCTCTGTCCCTATTCAGGGATCTAATCCCACAGAGCCAGGCAGCATGAAGACAAGCAGGCTGGGAATTGATGGCAGGTCCTGCCATGAATGCATCCAATAGTGCTGGCCAGGCCCCGCTGCCCTACGGCTTAGGAATGCAGGGTCAGCTGGAATCCTGTACCCCACACCCAGAGGAAAGGGAAGATTTTCTCCCCATTGAAAGAGGCCTGTTGGAAAGTGAAGATCGGGGCCAGGTCATCAGCATAATTAAATGCCACCAGCCCCCCTTCATAGTCCAGAGAGACCCGGATCCTCTTGGGTTCTCTGCTCAAGGACAGGTGGGTGATAGGATTGGTGTGAGCCCGGTAGTCAAGGGTATCATCCCACTGCCGCACCCCCACCCAGACCCCCTCCTCTGGGGTAAAGCCAACCTCTCCCTTCCTCTGCACAGACTCCCTAGCGACTCCCACAGCCCAGTCTCTGGTGTGCCCCCCCTCCACCTTCACCTCCCAGGAATGTTTCCCCGAGGTGAAACCCTGAGAGCCCAGCACACACAAAGAATAATCAAATCTCTCTGGATTGTCAGGCAGCCTCTGCTTCTCCGGTCCCCGGCTCACGCTTCTTAGGTCTGCAGACAGGACGAGCTCAGGATGTGCCGTGGCTGGATCCAGAGTCAGATTCTCTGGGGAGAGACAGAAATGGAGCATTAGAGGCAGACATGGGTCAATGAGGGAGTGAAAGGATCAGCTGGGCAGAGCTGAGATTCTATATGCCACCCCTTCACTCATCTGCTTAGGATCCAGTCAGTGTGACGTGTTAGCATGGGCCTGTCGGTGCTGCTCTTTGTATTAGCTAACGAGAGCGAGATCACATGGCAACAAAACTTCACTGACCCCGCATTAAGGTGCCTGGGGATACCTGGTGCCCCACAAGAAAGCCAAGTTCAGCAACACTGAACTGTGTGAATGCTGGGAGGTAGCGAGTTCAGGTAAATGCCCTCACAGTGTTAACTCTGCCCCCTGGAGCTGGGAATAGCCCCCGTAAGCTAAGTATCACTGTACTGACGGACAGGGTGTATGTATGTGAGACATAAAGAGAGAGACAGAGCTCTTTGCCCTGGCCCTTGCGTTGGTGATCAGAGAGAAGAGGTCCCTGTGCACCTTGGAAGATTCCCTAGAACCCGTTTCAGTGCTGGGTCAGAAAGGCTGGTGTCACTTGTGATGCCCAGGGGCTGTTTTGCCAAGGGTGGCTGGGAGATGAGTGTGGCAAGTGAGTTTAAAGCAGGGTTGGGAAAAGCAGGGTTAGAGGCATCATCAGCATTAGGGTGAAGTGACTGTGAAAAGAGTTGAAGGGGTTGTAAAATTTAGCAGCTGCTGTTCTCTCGGTAGGATAGGTGGATATCAAACTCCTGTCCATTACAGCACAAAGACAGAGCACGAGTATGTGTTATGGAGGTACTGGGACATCACGCAAGTGGGCAGAGTTAAGGTTGTATTAGCGTTATATTTCCTGATATTCACAAGTTTGAGCTGTGCTGAACTTGACGTTCTGGGAGGGTGCGAGTTATCCCCAGGAAACCCCAGCTCTGGTTTAAAAACTTTTTCTGCCATTTATTTTCTGAAGTTTTTTTAACATAAGGAGAAAGATTATTGGTAGGAGAGCGGCCATTTTCTCACTCAGGTTTGCAGCTCAGACTCTGCGGTGGCCAAAGATGACAAATCCTAGCTCTCACACAGCCCTTTTCATGAGTAGAACTTCATTATTCCCCTGTGTAGGTGGTGATACTGATGTCACTTGGTCAAAATCATCCTGCCAGCTAGCTGCAGAACCTGGAACAGAGCCCAGCATGTTTGAGTCTTGGTCACTGTTCTCTCCACTAGGATACACAATTCCTATGTGATTCCTCAGTGCTCTTTCCCCTCCCTGTACACATTGATGCTTGACCATTGCACCCTTCACCTTTCAGGAGCCACCTGTGCACAGAGCAGTTGCTCGAACCTGTGAACATTATGCACAGCTGTGTTTGCAGGGGCCGTCACTCCGGGCTCTGTTGCCCAGCAGCCCAGTGATATTGCTGGAAATTGCTAGATCTGTAGAGACCTGTCCAGCTACAGGGGAAGCTTCCCATCAGGGTGTTTTCTGGGCTCTTCTGTCCATGTGTGCTCAGTAGGATCCACTTAGATCATCACCGATATTATTTACCTGATAGTGCTCTGTGTGTTGTTCCCCCAAGGCCTGCTGGGTGCTGCTTATTCTCTGGGGCGTAGCATACAAGAGGAGTTCACATGAACCCTAGCTCTTGAAAGTAGGAATAAAGGATCTTCCGGAAAAGGGTTTATTTTCCGGAAAATCGCGTCTAGACTGGCAAAACCCCGAGCCGGAAAAAAGCGGCAGCCATGTAAATGCAAATGCCGTGGGGGATATTTAAATCCCCCGCAGAATTTGCAATTCCGACTGGTCTCATTAGTATCCCTTTTCCGGAAAGTGGTGCCAATGTAGACACAGCCGAGGAGTTCACATGAACCCTAGCTCCATACAGTCGAATTTCTAAGGAATGTGTCCACACCAGCCTGTTTTGCCACTCTTGGGGGCGGCAGACGTCAGTGTCTGTACTCCTGCTTTACACCAGGAATAACGGTATTCCTGACCTTGCATGGTCAAAGCGATAATAGTCTAGATGCAGCAGTGGCCTGGGGAAGTTCGGGCCCCCCGCTGAGTAAAGCATTGGCTGTGACATTGGCGCTCCCTTTAGCTTGGGCCAGCCACGGAGGTGTCCTGCAGTAGTCAGCTCCGCCTTGTTTGGCTGCTGGATGACTGTGAGGGGGCCAGCGTGGGCCCACTTTCTGTGGTCATACCAGCCTGTCCTCTTTCCTCGGGCTCTGCCCAGGGTCTCTCTGGCTGGGCCCATGAGCTCAGTGAGCCTTGCCTGGAAAGCCAGGACATCCTCCACCCTCGACCCTCCCATCCAGGGAGGCCTCCCCCTCCTACAACTCTCTCAGCAAGCCCAGGGGTCCCCTCCCCTTTCTGCACCATGGCACAGTCGGGGAGAACCCGGTGGAGCCTTAGGGCACCACCCTGTGTGCAAACAGCAGGTGGGGAAGGTACTCATCCCAGTCCTGCGGGTGCTGGTGCATAAAGGCCTCCAGCATCTGCTTCAGGGTCCCATGGAACCTCCCCACAAGCCTGTTGGACCCAGAGCAATGCTCAGAGGCCCAGGAGAGCTGTATCCCATGCTTCTCCCACTAGCACTAGAGCAGGGCTGACATGAAGTCAGTGAGGACCTCCTGGGGGAACCCTGCCCTGCTGAAAATGGCCAGCAGTGTATCTGCCACCGTGTTTGCCTCGACAGAGGGCAGAGCCAAAGCCTCGGGGTAGTGGGTAGCAAAATCCATCGCTACCAAGATGTATTTCTTCCCCGTCCAGGTCGCCTTGCTGACGGGTCTCACTATATCAAATGCTACCTTCTGGAAAGGCTCTGCTATGATGGGCAGGGGCCTCAAGGCAGCTTTCTTCCCCACCCTCTGGCAGGAATCACTGGACTGGCAGGACCACTGCACAGCTGCAAATATCCTCGGCCAATAAAAGTTCTGAAGCAGCCTCAGCTGGGTGGGCCGGATCCCCTGGTGCCCTGAGAATGGGACGTCATGGGCCAGGTACAGGAGTCTGGGATGATATTTTTCAGGAACCACCAGTTGATGCTGGACCCCCCCACGACCACACCTTTCTTGTGGGGAGCCATTCCCAGTATAGGAACCCCCACTTCCATAGGAACCTTTCCTGGCAGTCTCCCCCCAGGGGCTGAGCTGCACTGACACCAGCCTGGCCCCTCAGCTTCTGCAAGGAGGGATCTGCCTGAACTTTGGCCTGGAATTCAGCACCTGGGGAAATGACAGGGACCTGTTCCCCGCCCTGGCCAGGGTCCAGAGTTCCAACCCTCCTGGGCCCTTTGTCAGTTGGGATGGGGCCCTGCACCCTCTTCAGGGTGCCCTCCCCAGGGTCAGGACTGCAAGCCCCATTCTGGCTCTGGCTACAGCTGGTGTCCAGGGCATTGTGGGGTTCTTCTGGCCACTCCTCTAGGTCACCCCCTTGACTGGGAGAGGAGGGGAAATGAGAAAAAAATAAAAAGAGAGAGACAGTGAGTAGATGGTTCAAATAGTATGAAAGGCTGATAGGAACCATTAGCACCTCCATTGTGTGGTCGGTAGTTTAAGTCCTAGGATGTGGAAATTAGTGTGGGAGCCAGCCAATGTCTTTGTTCATACCATTTGCATAAGAATTAAACTTGTGAATGAAGTTAAGTACTAATCCTTCTTTGTGTATTTGGCTTGTGGAACTGGCCTGAAAGAAAACCATGACTTGGAGATCCATTCATGAGTGTCCAGGCAGATTAAAGTATCCGAGGGGTAGCTGTGTTAGTCTGGATCTGCAAAAGCGACAAGGAGTCCTGTAGCACCTTAGGGTATGTCTACACTAGCCCCCTAGTTTGAACTAGGGTGGATAATGTAGGCATTCGAACTTTCAAATCAAGCCTGGGATTTAAATATCCCGGACTTGATTTGCATCTTCCCATCTGGCCACCATTTTTAAATCCCCTTAGTTCGAACGAACTGCCCTCAGCTACACGCGGCAGTTTAAAGTTAATCCAAACTAAGTCCTTAGTTCGGATTAACTGTTACACCTTATTCATTACTGGTGAGGCCACATCTGCAGTACTGCGTCCAGCTGTGCCCCCTGCCCCATGGCAGAAAGAATGTGGATGCATTGGCCTGAGACCAGTGGAGGGAAACCAAAATGCTGAGAGGGCTGGAGCACATGACCTAGGAGGAGAGACTGAGATATTTGAGTTGTTTAGTCTGCAGAAGAGAAGAGTGAGGGGGGATTTGAGAGCAGCTCTCAACTCATGGAAGGGAGGTTCCAAAGAATGGGGAGAGGCTGTTCTCAGTGGGGACATATGGCAGAGCGAGGAGCAATGGTCTCAAGTTGAAGTGGGGGACGTCTAGGCTGGATATTAGGAAAAAGTATTTCCTTAGGAGGGTGGGGAAGCACTGGGAGGGGTTCCCTAGGGAGGGGGTGGAACCTCCATCCCTAGAGGTTTTGAAGTCCCGGCTTGACAAAGCCCTGGCTGGGCTGATTGAGTTGGGGTTGGTCCTGCTTTTAGCAGGGGGTTGGACTCGATGACTCCTGAGATTTCTTCCAATCTTATGATTCTATGAACTGCCTCAGGGTCTTGGGTTTGGGGTGGGGGATATGCAAATATATGTAAATATTTACCTTTTAGCATTGAGATTGAATTCTCCTCACTGGGGTCACTCACAGCCCCGTCCGCACACACAGCCGACACCCGGAATCTGTAGGGTGTCCCAGGCTTCAGTCCATCAACGGTGTAGGTCTCGGTTCTATTTCCTGTCCTTCGCTCCAGCCATTTGTCTTCTCCAGCCTCCTTTCTGTATTGCACCTTGTACTCGCTTATACTGACTCCATCTCCAATGGCACGTGGACTCTCCCAGGTCAGGGTGATGGCTGATAATTCTATATTAGCTGCTGCAGGTTTCCCAGGCGGACTGGTAGGAGGAAGCGTCTTCACTGTGTCGCTCACGTCGCTGCTCTCGCTGAGCCCTGGTTTGCTCACGGCCGCGTATCGGAACTGGTACTGGGTGTTTGGACGGAGCCCTGTGACTGTGAGTGTCTCTTGTGTGTTACTGACATTCACAGCCACCCAGTTCTCCTGCCCCACACGTCTGTACTCTGCCTGGTAGCCGCATATCTCAGCCCTGCCATAGGCTGCCGGTTTCAGCGTGAGCTGCACACGGTCATGTCGGACTCCACCAATCAAGAGAGGAAGAGGCTTTGATGGGGGCTGGAAATCGGTACTGACCAGTTCTCCATCCTCATACAGGTAAATGGAAGCGCCTGGATTGATCTTGTCTGGGACAGAGGCCACAATGAACCGGGTCTTCTTGTTAGCTTCATTGCCACGGGCAAAAGCTGAAAAGCACTTGGCAGATATTCGTGCTTTTTTACGTATTTCCTTGTCCTCAAACCACATTTTGCATTTTGGTTCCTCACTGGCAGAACCAGCTGGTGCAGGATCCTGAGTGTCCTTTGTAGACTGGGCATGAAGCCAGAGATGTAAATCAGATAAATATGGCTCCTCGTCGTGTAAAGAGGTGAATGTGAAAGAAACGACAAAGTCAAACCCAGGATCAAGCACTGTTTTCTCTAGTTCAATCTGAGAGGGCATCACTTCTGCCTTGCTTAGGGCACTAAGGTTTGCCACATAATTCATCTCTCTCTCCTTTATATCCAGAAACTCACTGAGTTTCAGAGTGTTGAAGGGTGACAGGTTTTTGCGTGACAGATTGTCCACCAGGGCCTCTTCCTCTTTCCCCCCTCCACGGATGGAGGGTAAGAGTCCTGCCAGCTCTTTCTGGAAAGTCTGTCTGTGTTGCATGCACAGATCTTTGAATAGCTGGATTTTTTTCTGCGTTTCAGGGAAGGTTCTGGCAATCGGATTCTTCCCCAAGTCGTTGCATCGCATGTCCAGTTCTGTCAGCCGCTCCAGGGCTATTTGAACATCGAAGATGAGCATTGTACTGATCTCACGCACCATCTGAGCAGCTCTGGAATCCAGCTGGGTCAGCGGGTACAGCCAGACTCTCACTGGTACGGCCTTCTCCCCGTTCTCACCCAGCAGCTTTGGGAGGGTGGAATAAATTGTTATGGCATTTTGGTAAGTAACTGGATTGTTCTCAAGAGCAAAATCACCATAAAACTTACAGCTGAGCTTTTCAGCAAGTTTCTTTTCCATGTCATCCATTTTGAGAGCTCCTTCCCCTTCAATGGAGACCTGGGGTATCTTTTTAATTATAACGTGGAGTTTTCCCTGTATGTCTTGTACATTCTCAGAGGAAGAAATGTCCTGATCGAAGACAAAAATCGCCTGTGCCCCGTACAGCACAGCCGTGACCACGTGGGTGGCCGTGCCTTGGTCAAACACCTCAGGGTAAGAGATACTGTGATGCCCTAATTGGTTCATAGTCAGCTGCTTAAACTGTGTCGTAGTTGAGTACAGGAGAGAAATGCGGGCTTGATGCTTTGATGTCTTGGTATCATTTAAATACTCTGCGGAGCCATCCACTTCCACCAGGCCAGACATGAAACTGGCCTTCAGTGATGCTTTGACATTCAGGGCAGAGGTCTTGTCTTCAGTGGTATCAGATGCAACAATCTGAAATTCGGTCTTGGACTGTGGTTTTGTCTGTATGTGATTCTGAAATGTCTCCAGGTCCCATAAAGTGATGCCTAGAACAGTATAGATGGACACATGGTCAGTGGCACAGAGGGTAAGGAACCTTCTGTTCTGTAACTGCAAGATATTTTCTACCAGTCAGAGCTGAATGTCCCTGAACAAAGTGTGGGATCTCGTAGCACGCTTCACCCCTTGGCTACGTCTAGACTGGCCCCTTCTCCGGAAGAGGCATGCAAAGCAGGCAAGTCAGAATAGGGAAATGCGCGGGGGATTTCAATATCCCCCGCGGGATTTAAATAAACATGGCCGCCGCTTTTTTTCCGGCTTGGGGAAAAGCTGGAAAAAAGCGTCTAGACTGGCGCGATCCTCCGGAATAAAGCCCTTTTTCGGAGGATCTCTTATTCCTACTTTGAAGTAGGAATAAGAGATTCCTGCTTTGAAGTAGGAATAAGAGATCCTCCGGAATAGGGCTTTATTCCGGAGGATCGCGCCAATCTAGACGCTCTTTTCCGGCTTTTCCCCAAGTCGGAAAAAAAGCGGCGGCCATGTTTATTTAAATCCCGCGGGGGATATTTAAATCCCACGCGGATTTCCCTATTCCCACATTCAAAATTAGCATGCCCCTTCCGAAAAAGGGGCCAGTGTAGACACAGCCCTAATAAATCTAACCTAACCACACAAAGCCTGACTCTGCAAAGCTATGACTAAAAAGACATGTTTACAATAGCTTGCTGCACGTAGGGCAGTTTCAGCAGCTGATAATGAGATGGCTGCACGTACATAGAATCATAGAATCATAGAATAATAGGACTGGAAGGGACCTCAAGAGGTCATCGAGTCCAGCCCCCCGCCCTCAAGGCAGGACCAAGGCCAATCCTGATAGTATTGATTTAGAGTGTCTTTTAGAGATGTCCTGTTATGGAGGAGTGTTTCTGATCTCTGAGTCACTCATACAGAATAAATGGGCAATATGACAAAATGCTGTTATGTTAGCAGACCATCTTGTCACTGGTATGTTATCATTGTACAAGAAATCCAGATAAGTACTAGGGAGGTTTACTTATTCTTGGTTTTGTTCTGAACCCTTCTTTTTATTATATATTTATATATTTTTATTTTTTGGCAGAGGGAGAAAAAACATTTAAAAATATTTTGAAAGGGAAGCCCATACAGTATTTTGATGCTCCTCCTCTCCCCCGTCCTCCCCAAAAAAAGTAGCCAGGATTCATGGGCCCAATCCAAAGTTCACTTAAATGAATGGAAAGACACCTGTTGATTTCAGTCAAATTTGGATCAGGACCTATATACATTAAACAGTATGTACAGTTTACAGTTCCCAACTTTGGTTGAATGAATTCCTGGAAGGTTCATTACATGACATCATTATTAATTAAAGATTAATCTTTAATTCTTGGAGACTCCAGGATATTCCTGAAGAATTGGCAACCTTAGCGCTGTTAAAGTTGTTCTGTACATACAAGTGTAATAAGAATGCCTAATTTGAAATTGAGCTGTATGCCTGGTTACACAATATGAGCTCTGTCTTACACTACTGGAGCAAAAGGTCACCCTCTAACAAAAAGGATGGGCTAAAATTTTTCCAATTAGAAACTTGAGCAATGATTTTCTAGGCTATAATACATTTTTCTAATACGCTAAAGATTATGCTGCTTGCAACAACCAACAGTATGCATAATTTTTAGAAACAGACTAGAATTGTTATGTTGAAGTGTAACAGAATAAATGTTGAACTTTATTTAGTTAAAAATTATTTATAAAATAAACGTGTGGAAAAAGTCCTCTGCATATTTAACAAGCAGGAGATAATAACACAGATGGGAGGGTTATATGTGCTCTCACACTTTATCAAATTTAAACCGGGATCTTTCAAATGGACCTTTGGTCTGACCCAGTATGGCCATGCTTATGTTTGCATGTTCTTAAATGTTTACAAATTATGTACGTAACTTTATACATCTTGGGTATGTCTAGACTACATGGCTCTGTTGCCAGAGCCATGTAGATTAGTTTACTAGACATATCCAAATGAAGCAGCAATTTAAATAATCGCTGCTTCATTTAAATTAAAATGGCTGCCGCGCTGAGCCAGTCAGCTGTTTGTCGGCTCAGCGCAGTAGTCTGGATGCTCCATGGTCGACAAAGGCATTTGTTGACCTCCCCGGTATGCCTCCTGGGATGAGGTTTACCTGGGAGGTCGACAAATGCCTTTGATGTCGACCGCGGAGCGTCCAGACTACCGCACAGAGCCTACAAACAGCTGATTGGCTCAGCGCGGCAGCCATTTAAATTTTCCTATGCCGGGTAGCCTAATCTACATGCCTCTGTTGCCAGAGGCATGTCGTCTAGACGTACCCTGTGTGAGAGTATAAGAACACCAGAATGGCCAGACTAGGTCAGACCAAAGGTCCATCTAGCCCAGTATCCTGTCTTCCAACAGTGACCAATGTCATATGTCCCAGAGGGAATGTCACCCACTCCCAGCTTCTTACAAACAGAATCTAGGGACACCATTCCTACCTATCCTGCTAAAAGCACCATGGACCTAACCTCCATGAATGTATCTTGCTCTTCTTTGAACCTTGTTAAAGTCCTGTTCTTCAAAACATCCTCTGGCAAGGAGTTCCACAGGTTGACTGTGCACTGAGTGAAGAAAAATTTTCTTTAAACTTGCTACCTAGTTATTTCATTTGGTGACCCCTAGTTCTTACATTACGGAAACAAGTAAATAATTTTTTCCTTATTCACTTTCTCTACACCATTTATGATTTTATAGATTTTATCTCTCCTTAAGTCTCCTCTCTTCATATAGGACACATTCCAAGCCCCTAAGCAATTTTGTAGCCGTTTTCTGAACTTTTTCCGATGCAAGGATCTCTTTTTTGAGATGAGGTGGCCACTCTGTCTGCAGTATTCAAAATGTGAGTGTTCCCTGGATTTATAGAGGCAATAAGATATTCTCTGCCTTTTTCTCTATCCCTTTTAAGGCCAAGGAGAACAATTTTTCTCCCTCTTCCTTGCAACACCCTTTTAGATACTGTTCACTCCCTTTGGGGTAGCTGGCATGGGCCATTCTCAGAAGATACAATAATGGGTTAGGGGGAGTATATGAGGTGGGGGAAGGTTGAGACATCATTGGTTGGTGGGCAGCTAGCCCCAGGAAGAGGCTAGAGGAAATAGCTCAGTGGTTTGTGCATTGGCTTGTTAAACCTGGGGTTGTGAGTTTAGCCCTTGAGGGGGCCAGTTAGGGATTTGGGACAAAAATTTGTCCGGGATGGTACTTGGTCCTGCTGTGAAGGCAGGGGACTGGACTTGATGACCTTCAAGGTCCCTTCCAGCTCTAGGAGATAGGCATCTCCAATAATTTAATTTAAGCCCTTTCCATGGGGGCTGCGGGTGGTTCCATTTAATCAGGAACAGGCAAGGTTTTCGGTCCCTATGACCTGGAACGAACAGCAGCAGGTCACTTGCCCAGCGCACGTCCCCCCTGCCTCAGCCAGTCACCGCACTCCCAGATGCTGGGGCGTGGGCAGGGCTGTTCCTATGGCACCCATCCCCAGGCCACCCCCAGCTCAGCTTGGTCCCAGGAAAGGCGGGTCGGACCGTGGCCCTTCCCTTCTTTCCCCTCGGAGCTCAGGGCTGCCCTGGGGTTACCTGGGATGAGGGTGTCCTTGCGGCAGTCGTACAGCATCCCCAGCTGGAAAGGGCGACCCAGGGCCGGCATCACAATCGTGTCTCCTGACGCAGGCATGGCCAAGGTCGAAACGCTCTTCTAGGTGTTGGCCTGAAAGAAATAACTCGTGTCACACCGACGCCCTCCTGGGCCACAGTCCGATCCCTCCCCTGGCTGTGGGCTCCACCCCTCTGTGACCGGGGGTGTTGGGTTCATCCCACCGGCCGTGTGGGGGTGTGAGTGTGGGTCTGTGTCACTGCCTGACACGCTCAGGGCATTGTGCGCAGGGCTCAGACCCCGATTCCCAGCGGGAACTCGCCCTTGTAGAGCCCGGCCACAGGGCTGGGTTCACTCCTGGGTGCGTCACTGTCACGACTGTGAGATGCCGGGGTCCCACTGGCCAGTGTGAGCAGAGCTCTGGGTGGGAGGTGCCGGCCCTGTGGCTGCGGCAGCAGCTTGTTGGGGAGCTCAGCCCGGGAAGGGCGGCTGGGAGAAGTGGAGTTAAAGGAGGGAGTGGAAGGGCGAGAGGAGATGGCTGGGCAGGACGAGGCAGCTGGTGCAGAGACCGAGGCCTGATTCTCCTCTGCTTTCCCCTGGGGCTGTCACCGAGCTGAAAAGCGAGTGTGAAATCCTTTGCACAAGTGTTGGGAATGACCCCAGTAGGAGGCAGGGGAGACTCAGGCTCTCAACAGGGAGGAGCCCCAGGAAACAACAGGAAGCAGGGTCAGGGAGAGCAGGAGGGGAGATGCAGGCAGGGAAGGACAAGCAGGGCCTGGAGAGTGAGCAAAAGGGACCAGATTCACTGCAGCTCTGCACGCTGTGGAGACACCAGAGCAGAGGGAGGTGAGGGGTGTGAAACGCCGCCCAATCAGAAGAGTTATATTTTACACCCAGCTTGCACAGAGGTTTGTGACCTCACACGGTGCAGGGCCAGAGTGAAATGGGCCTTGATGTGTTTAAATCACTATTGATAATTGTCCTGTTCTGAACACGTTTAATTTTGTGCCTGTCTGTGTCCCAGAATGAACCTTGTAGCCCTGCCTACGCTGCAGAAAATGGCCACCGGAGCTAGCAGGCGAGAAACTACAGTACTGTAGCTAGCACAGAGGAAGTTGTGAGGTGTGATCTGGCCAAGAAAAATGAACTGGGCATAAAAGACCAAACCTGGACGCTGTAAGTGGGACATTTTGTTTTGGAAACACCCGAATGGTCCAGGCCACTGGGCAGCTGTTGGGGGTTTCTGAAAACCAAGGGGCTCCCTAAAAACGATAGCTGTTTGTCAGGAGGACAGGGGAGCCATTTGCAGTTCTGGTGAGGGTGCTGGCCGCTAGAGTGGTGGGGGTGTGTGTGCACAGAGTGAGGGTATCGGCACAGTGAGGAGAGCAGCTTCAGCAGAGCTACTGAGCATGCTCAGCCCCGACCCCCGCATCACTCTTTTCCAGGGCTGTAAAGGCACCTGACAATAGTAGTGTTTTGGCAGATAACTTAGCAACTAGCTGGCGGGAGCACTGTATCCAATTCCTATATAAAAGTAATACAATTCAACAAATGTTAGATCCACTCAGTTCTAATAGTGACATGTTCTGGCATTTCTTGTCAAGTCACCCAAGGGACATGGTCTGGGGTTCACATTGTAATGCATGGTCTCACTTTGTCACTAACTCTCTGGAGAGAGACCCCGCCAGGGCTTCTGGGCTCTATCTCAGCTCTGGGAGGGGAGAGGGTCCAGTGGGTTGCAGCAGGGCCAGATACATCCGGGTTCTATATAAGAATATCAGAGGAGCCAGACTGGGTCCCACCAATGGTCCGTCTGGCCCAGTGTCCTGTGTTCTGGGAGTGGCCAATGCCAGGGGCTGGAGAAGGCACGAGCAGAAGAGGAACCATCAAGCGGCAAATCGTTATCCCCTGTCGCCCATTCCCAGCTATGGACAAAGATGCTGGAGAAGGAACAAGCAGAAGAGGAACCATCAAATGGCAAATCGTTATCCCCTGTCGCCCATTCCCAGCTATGGACAAAGAGGCGAGGGACACCCGCCCGGCCCAGCCCGGCTAGTAGCCATTGAGGGACCGACCCTCTTGAATGTATTTTGTCCTAATAAGAACACTGTTGTGGTTTGGGTCTTTCCACCGTCCCCCGGAAAAGAGCTCCACAGACTGACCATGAAGAAATCATTTCTCTGGTTTGTTTTAAATTTGCTGCCTGTGCATTTCATTGGACGACCTTCTTACACTGGTCTGAGGAAGTGGGGTTTACCCACAACAGCTCATGAGCGAATCCATGTGTGAGTCTCGAAGGTGCCACAGGACCACTTGGTTTTAAAGGTACAAACTAACACAACTACCATCTGAGACTGCCTGTGTTATGTCTATGGGATCATGAACTTCCGTGGGCAAATCCCTCTTCCTCAGATGAACAGAGACGTGACCTCGAAAGCTCCTGATACTGTAGACAGATGTTACTGTAAGGCACCACAGGGCTGCTCATTGTTCTTAAAGTTACAGACGAACATGCCCTCCTCCCCCCCCCGCAAGATGTCTTGTACTAGGTGAGCAAAGGAGTAAATAGCATTTCCTCATTCTATTGTTCCACGCCAGTCATGACTTCATAGACCTCCATCACACACCCCACCCTTTAGGCCATGTCTGCGCTGCAGAGAAAATGTTATGGGCCCTCCACACTGTCAGCAGCCGGTGCGGAGGTGTGACCACACCGAAGGCACTTGCAGCACCTTTCAGAGTGGGGCGCTCAGGCAGCGACCCCACAAAGCACCTCTTCCTCTTCCGCTACAGAGGTCGGTGGGGAGCCCTGGGCCATCCTGTGTGCTGTTCCCAAGCCCCTGGGGCATCGTTTCACTTCCCAGCAACCCCTGCACTTCCGTCCACATTTGGTGCCATCTTTCAACAGCGTCTGTGCTGCACATTCCGCCTCCTTGCTGTGAGAGGACGGCTCCCCAGCCATTGACAAAAATGCTGATCAGTCTCACTAGCACATCATGCCTGGCAGCTGAGTAGACAGACATGGTACGTGGCAGGTGAGTAGACTGTGGCTAGACAGGATACGTGGCAGTTGAGTAAACAGACAAGATACATGGTAGTTGACTCAACAGACAGGGTACATGGCAGTTGAGTAGACTGGTGGCAGACAGGACATTGGGCTAGTTGAATCTTTGGTTTGACTCAAAATGTTCACTCTGATGTTCTTACGAGTTATTCCTGAATTTGCAAAATGAGGAGGAGGAGCCCAAGCAGTGCTCCTGCCACACGAGATTTTTTGTGGCATTCACAGAAGTGCTGAGCACAGAGGAACGTGCTTTAGGGCTCAGGACACAAGCACTGAGTGGTGGGATCCCATCGCCGTGCAAGGCCGGGATGATGAGTAGTGGCTGCAGAATGGTCAGATGAGGAAAGAAACTTTCATGGGACTGTGCACTGAACTGACCCCCAGTCTGCGGCACAAGGAGAAGTATGGGGTGATTTAAAAAATCACCGCTTCCTTTAAATTAAAATAGCTGCCCTGCTGTGCCGATCAGCTGTTTTTCGGCACAGAGCAATAGTCTGGACACTCTGCGGTCAACATCAAAGCCCTTTGTCAAACTCTCCGGTAAACCTCATCCCACGATGCACCCTCACCTTCCCTCACCCTGCACCCTCCTGGTGCCTCCCCCTTCCCTCACTGCCCCTGCCCCCTTTGCCCTTTTTTCCCTGATGCCCACCCCCTCACCACCCTCTGCCCCCATTCCCCTCATGCCCCTCTGTGCCTTCACACATGACTTGCTCCATCCCTGCCTTCCTCATGCCCCACCTCCTTTCAACCCTTCTTCCAGCACCTTCCCCTCCCCTTGCTTCCTCTTGCCCCCAATGCCCTTCTCCTCTCCTCTCCCACTACCACCCTGCACCCTCACTGACACTTCCCCTCCCGCCTCCTGCCCTCTTACTCATTGTTTCCTCTTGGCCCCCTGGCATCTGTCTCTCCTCCACCCTGTCCCTTGGTGCCTTCCCCTTTCTTCTCCTGCCCTGTGCCTCCCCTCAGCACAAGCCCCTTCCTCTCCCACCCTCCTTCCTCCTAGTTCTCTCTGAGCCCCTCCCCCACTTTTGCCTTCTAGTTTGCGGGGCTGGAGTCTGTGGTCGGGCCCCAGAAGTCCCTGCAGCTCTGGCCCCAGCTGCTTCCAATGCAGGACTGCTTGCCAGGCCTGGAGCTGGGGCGCCCGCGGTGCTAATTTTAATGCATTCCAGTTCCCGCAGCAGCTTTGGCTCCCATTAGGAGGAGCGCTTGGAGGGGGGGGGGAGAAGAAACCCCCCACCCTCCCAGATTTGGCTTGTGGGGGGGGGCGGCGCGAAA